AGGGGGGCTTCGCACCCCGCCTCTGCCAGCAGTACCGGCACCTCCCGCCGTCCCACCCGGGGTCACCTCATCCCCGATACCTGCCTCCTGGTTTGGTTGCGACATGTTGATGAATATATGAAGGAAAAAAAAAATACTTCATTGTTTTTACTACAATGTAGATAAATATATGATTTTTTTAGTTCTGCCAAAATAAAATTCAGTTGTTTTGTAATACCAGAGAAGTTCTTGATTCTCACAAAAAGATGATGTCATCTCGTGTTCCTAGAAAGAAAGACGGGACCAGGGCGGGGGGGGGTGCGTCTTGTCTTTAATCCAGGGGGCTGAACACGTGCCATCACCTATTCTAGAGGTGTGCATTTAACTTCATTAAATTTTTAATGATGCTCACTAATTGAGGCAGAATAGAGTAACAAGTGCGTAGCACGATACCTCTTTTGTTTGGATCAAAAAAAAAGTTCACTGTCAAATTAGTTAGCTGTGTAAAGCGACCAGTAAAAAATACTGCTGTGTAATGGAAACGCGCTGACCTGGAGCTGAAAGCCGTGAATGGGAAAGAGCAGAGCAGCTCGTTAACATCGAACATTTCCTCGCCCGTTTTAAGTTGTATGGTACGACTGCTTTAATGGCACTCTGCTTTGAAGCACAACTGGTAGCAGTAGCACATAAGAAGCTTTTTGTAGAACGGAGAAGCACGTTAGAGAAAGACAATGCTATGCTAAGGTGACAGATGCGAAATGTTTAGAGGTAGATTTTATACCAAGAGATTTGGAGAGGGGGGAGTGGAAAAAAGCTTCATTTGTTTAAGTAGAGAAAATGGGGTTGGTGCTCTTCGGACTCTGGCTACAACAGTTAGGTGGAGTAGAAGGGTGTGTAGCAAGGCTTTCCTCTTACCACAATTTGTCACCTACTTTATGGATTGTGAATACATCGGTTAAACGTTCATTTGAGAGCGCGCCAAGTTTTGTGAAATGCTCTAAGTAGTATGCAGATGCTTATTTTGAGCGCCCTAAGATGCTCTTTTTTATCCAGGAGTAATTTCACTATCATGATTTTGTACCAGCTTTGGTACTTGCTCCATTTTTCTCGTTTCACAAAGTCAGGGCTGAGGCTGAAAAAGCCGTGCCTGCACCTCAGCCCTTCGCTCCCTCCCGCAAGGAGCTGCTCGACTGCGTGGCAGAGCTGATGGGGGTTAAACTTCACCCAGCAAACCTCTTAGCAGCCTTCAGCTGGGTGGGTGCTGCGCTGCCGTAGAGGGTAAGGCAGATGCTTTCAGCAGCCGTGGCTTCCGCTGAACTTTAGAAAAGTAAAACTTACACCACGTACCCCTCCACTGCAAGCACTGGCGTTTAACAGAGTAATGCAAGAGTCATTCCAGAGTAGTTGTGAAAGAAGTCAAGTTTAACTTTTTTCTAAAGTACATTTGCATCTTGTACAGCTTAGAAGAAAACAGACGTTATTTCAGAAGTAGTGAGAAAGGGAACTGAAAGTTTATTAGTAGATGTTCTTTTGGTTATCGCACTTTAGAGAAATGAACCGGCAAAGAGCCTGCTGAAGCTCTTGGGGAACTGTTTTTGAAAAGTAAATCTAATCTGGATAAAGTAAATCCATTTACCAAATTGTAAATACTTAGCAGCAGGCGTGCAACAAGAGAGGATGTTTCTGTTGTGCAATTGAATTTGTTCAGTTGACGGACTGGGCTATGTCTGGATGCTGCGGATCTGAAGTAATGTACTAGGATGGAATACATGGTATAAATGGTGATTATTTCTAGGAGACTAATTAGAACTTCTCCATGTAATTAGAAATTTCATTTGATTGCTAAAAATCACTGCAAGTCTAATCCTGCAGTTATCACAAAATGAAAGGTTTGAAAAATGATGAACACTGCTCATTTCTAGGTGGACTAAACGCAGCAATTCCCGGGGAAGCCGTTAGAAGAAGGATCCATACAAATACTCCCTTGTAATGTAGCAAGAGACTAAGAAAGTTGTGTAAACAATAAAGATGCATTTTCTTCCACTCAGATTCACCTTCAACTGCATCTTTCTTGTAAGTAAAACTATTTCGGCCCATACATATGATTAGAAAACTCAGACCTAATCACTTCAAAAATTATTAACAACAATAACTAAAAAGAATTCTATATTGGCATGTAAACAAAACAGTTTCAGTAGGAACCCATGTTCTACTCTTAGCCCTGAACTCATAAACCAGCACATGGAAGTCACAGTAAGCATCAAACAACAGAAGGAAATCCTAAAATAATTAAACTAGTCCAGGTCATACAGCAAAGAATTCTGAAACACAACCGGGCAGCGCGTTACGTGATCCCTAACGATCTGCACGCTCCCATCCTGCGTGTTCACTTCTTGCAGAAGCGGGGAGAGCGGTCTGCTGTCCGAGCTGCGCCGGCTCCCCTGTGCCGACTCTGCTGGCGGGCGCAGCTGCTTCCCCCCCTTCGGCTTTGGGCTGCCCCTCCAGCAGAAGGCCTGCTTGTTTTTCAGAGTCTGCGGCCGCAGCCGTTTCGCCTACTACGACAGTGCTTTCTAAATCTGGTTCCTTTCTCCTAGACTCGCCAGGAATCGCTGAACTGGTGTCAGAAAGTTCATGCTGCAAACAATGGTGTGAACTACAACCCACTTTTCCTATTGTTTCAGCTGTTTCAATAGATGTGGAAGTTTTGTTGGTTTCTGTAGCACGTTCTCCTTCGATTGTGTCAGCTGCCGTACAGTTTGGTTCTGCCTTTGTTTGGGGGTAGTCACCGTTTGTCTTTTCAGCGAGATCTCCTCCCGAGCTGCTAGGCAGTTCTTCTCTTCCATCACGTTCGGAAGGGAGTGCTTCCTGCGGCTGTCATAAAAATAAAGGAATTGTTTTATAGTTGAAACCGACTGGGCACACAAAACTGCCGTAAAGACAGGCCAAGACACTTGTTTCTCTAACACCTCCTTCCAGAAAGCCAAGTCAGTACGGTGCTGAGGTTTTCCTGATCTTGTACCGCGCGTGGGAATGAGTGGCAGGGAGGTCGTTTCCCTCCCAAGGGTTTCCTCTGCGATAGGAAACGCCGCTGGGCAGCGGCCAAGCGCCCACAGCCTCCATCGCAACTAAAAGAAGGGAAGACCGGCGAGTCACCACACCCAGGCTGTTTGCAAGAACTCCAGGGCCACAAAATCAGCCAAGGTATCTAAACTCTCATTTCAAGAAGTGCGTTTTAACCTTGCAATTAGGGAAATTACCGTCCTGTCGTATGTGAAAGGTGTAACTGGTAAGTGAGCTGTCTTTCTCAATCGGCCTGAGTTAATCCAGGAATTGCTGCGGTTTGCCTCGGGAGAGTATGAACTGGGAGACCTGGTGCTGTCTAAACAGCAGTTACCCAATTTCACCATTAGCTATTGGCTACTTTAGCAAAAAACAGCTGGTAACGCGTATGTCCCTATCAGTGGAAAGTCAGGATCAGGCGGGCATCTGTCCAGGAGCAGCTGGATTCATGGACCGAAAGACCGAGCCGTGCTCTCACACACTCAGCCCTCTCTGACCCCAAAACCACAGCTCACTCCAGCAAGGAACAAAAGAAACACTCCTAAGTCCTTCTCAGCACTGGATGATTCTCCCACATGAAAGTGTGAAGATTTAAGATCTCTTAGCTGCCCTTTCTTAAGTACCAAAACATACACATCTGCTCTCCAACAATCTGAATTTTACATTTTTATGTACAATCCACGCTAGCTACAAAAGTTAAGCCTGTCAAGTAATGCTGGAGCCACTATCTTTAGGGGAAACTCCTCGGTCCTCCAGCTTGGTTCCAGAGGTCGCATGCTTCGTCTGAACTTGCTTTCCAAGAAGCCATCTACACGTTAACTATATCTGCAGTCTCTAGTTTATGGCCACAGAAGTAACCTGATTGTCCCTGCATATTATCTTTCCTTTAAGAAAAGTTGTAAATGAATTTCTGATACAGCATCTACCAAGAAATCCCAGCCAATTTTGGGGGGGGGGGGTACCTCACATTTTCCTCTTTAAAAAAAACTAACATTTTGTTTTCTTTATCTGTCCATCTCCTATTTTGCAAAGGGAGGTCATTTTAATCCTGTGGCAGACTTCAGAGACAGAGTACCTTGCATCCTTTATATAGACGGGGTGACTGAGGAAGGGTAGCCTGAAGAAGGCCTTCAGTGTTTCAAGCAGTGAATTTGAGACCAGTGTTTAAAATGAGCAGTCCCGCGTTTAATTATCTACACCACAGGGAACCACTCAGTGTTCAAACACTTGGACCGAATAAAGATAACGAGACCCGACTCATCACAGACAAAATCCTCAAGGTTTTCTCTACTCGGGCGACAAAGCAGAGAGCGAAGCAGCGGCCGTGACTGAGGACCCTCCGTCCATCTTTAAGGAGCCCTTTCCGTTCCACGCTCCCAGCAGCCAGGTTCTTTGCCTCTCCACCCCCTGAGCCCAAGTCCCTCCGGGTAAGTTAAGTTCCCTTCTGGTTACCAGACACCCAGAAAGGTGTCCGTGCAAAAGACAGCATGCTTTAACCATGGGCTCCAGCACATGAACCCAAACTCTCGGGTATTTGAAGGATGCGGATTATTCACTTCTTTATTTCCATTTTAAGAACATTCCGGTTTTTATTCTGATGACAGCTGCCATGATTTGTTTGCAGCACGTTGTCATCTGCTCTGACCTGGAAGCACTTGGGGTCCCTCGGAATGAGGGATAGTAGGTAGTCACTTGGTCATATTTTTCTTTTAACACT